GTCCTGTGTCTGTGTACTGTCTGGCGGTCTGTCTGTCTGGCGGTCGTTGTCTGTCGTTCTGTCTGTCTGTCTGTGTGTGGTGTGTGTAAAAATGATTCCCGGTTTCTCGGTTCACACCCACCCCCCCCCCCACCACATGTATGGTCCCCTTTCTACTATTCCCCCCCCCCCCAAACCCCCTAAAACCTAAAACCTAAACCCGAAACCCTAAACCCTAAACCCTACAACCCTAAAAAACCCTACAACCCTAAAACCCTAAACCCTAACACCAACCCACAACCACACCGCAGGGGGGGGAACCTTAACCCTAAACCCTAAAACCCTAAAACCAACCCACAACCACGGGTACCATTGGAGGGGGGGGGATATATACATCCCTATATCTTTACATATATATATATATATCCGCCGACCCCAGCTGGAGCGGGGGCGGCGTCAGTGAAGACCCATCGTTGTCCGCTCCCCCGCCCAGTGCCCGTTCCTCCCGCCCCCAGCAGCACCTGGAGATGAAGTGTTTTGCCCTTGCTGCCCCCGCCCCCCCCCGCCCCCCCCCCTCCCGCGCACCTTGCCCCTCACCTTGCCCTTTACCTTACTCCCGACCAACGAAGTGTTTTAGGGGCTCTCCTAACTTCCAACCTGCAAATGAAGTGTTTTAAGCGCTCGCCCCCCTCCTGTTTTAAGGTGGAAACGACAGGGGCTCCCCAACCCCCAACCTGGAGAAAGGGCTCCAGACCAAGCCCGCCGTCCCCCTTGACATGTTTCAGGCGCTCCCCTTACCGTTGGCACTGGAAGTCGTTTCCACTTTAACACTTCATTTGCAGGGGGGGGGGGAAGGGGGGGGGGGGGGGGGGGGGGGGGGGCGCGGCAGCAAGTCGGGCATGCTTTTGCCGGCAGCGATTCATCATGCACTGGAACCATGCCCCCACCCACCCCGCCCCCACCACCCCCGCCCCCCACCCCCCGCTGCCGCCGCCCCCGTCCCCCCTGCGAATGAAGTGTGTTAAGGTGGAAACGACGCGTTTTAGGGGCTGGCAGCGAGCCAGCAACTACGGAAACCACTTGAGGCTGCAGCAAATGGACGTGTTGGGATTCGAACGTGGCCTGTAAGGGTTTAGGGCCCCAAACCTACAGTTCTTGTAGGTTACTTAGGAAATCCTAGAGGGGGAACTCTCTGTGATCATGACCTACACTAAAGAAGGCTTTGGGTTCTTAAGGTAGTGACTTAAGGTAGCGAAGCGTCTAGCCCTCAACCCCAAAACCCTGTTTAGGTGTCAGGGCTTGGGGCTTTTGCTCAGGGTGTGCAAAGTTCAGGGTTTAGGGTTCGGGACTTTGGGCTCAGTGTTTAGGGTGAATGGCCAGGGCTTAAGGTTGGGTACCTATTCGTTGACAGGTTACGAGCGGCTTCTAGAGTGCTCATTAAACTACAAAAAGCGTAGGCGTTGTGGTCTTGACGTAAATCTCATTCGCTAGGTCAGTGGAAACATGCCTAAACCCTCATAAGCCCAAAACCCTAACCGGCCCTAAGCCCTAAACCCTTGTTTGGGGCAAACCTGAACCGCAATTTAGGGTTTTGGGTAGTGGTTTGGGGCTATGAGGTCTTACAGGTTGAACATCTGGGCCTGTTTCGGCGCAAGGAGACACCATTTTTGTGCTCCAACGCTCTTGCGAGGGAATCTAACCCGAACGCTCTTGCGAGCGAATCTAACCCTAACGCTCTTGCGAGCGAATCTAACCCTAACGCTCTTGCGAGCGAAAAACCCTACCGCTCTTGCGAGCGAAGAACCCTAGTCTAAGTCAACCCCCTAACGCTCTTTCGAGCGAACCAGCCTGCGATGGGGTCGGCGGCACTGGCGGTAGCCATTGACTATATATATATATATAGGTGTGGATGTGAGTCGTCGCGTCGCCCCGAAGATCTGAAACTAAGCAAGGCAAACAAAGCGGCGCGGCAAACATGTCTTCAATGTCTTGACTCACTTTGCTCCTCGGCACTCCTGAGTTCAAGCGAAGACATCTGCTCACGGCCTGGGGCCCAGGCTGCGCTTGCCATCTGGAGAAATAGGCTCGGTCTGGCCAAGACAGAGGCGCTTCGTTTCGGTTCCTTTGTTAAGTGGTGAGGTCGAACTTTCGGGCCTGGTTGTCGAGCATCTCCTGGAGGGCACATTTGACGAAGGAACACGCTTAGCATGGCGTTAACGCATGAGAACTGCTCTCTCAAAAGCGGAAGACTCCCGCTCCTCGCTGTTCAGAGCGAAGACCACGGCATCCATCAGCTTGGAGCTCTCCATGGCAACACCTGCACTGCGCGGCAGATGCGCAGATGCAGGGCGATACGCGCGCACTCCTCGAGAATGCCGCGCCGAGAGGGGAGGGAGAGGCGGAGGGGCAGGGGGGAGGGCGGGGATTCCGTTCCTTGCCTTCGGCCCGCACTGCGGCGTCTTTGGCAGCAGCCACATCCACCTTCGCAGGAGGTGGAGATGAAGAAAAACAGGCAAAGCTTAGCTTACCAAAGCTGAACAGAGAAAGCGCTGAGATCGAGATTTTGCGAGCGAAAGACAGAGAGAGAGGGAGACAAAGAGAGAAGCGACAACTCTCAAATGAGAAACAGATATGGTAGGAAGATGGACGAACAGAGCATGCGCTTAACAGAACTTGAGAAGAAAACGGGGGGCAACAATACAACAAAACAGAGCCAAGACTGCTAAGCCTCACAATAACAGAATCGGGGAAGAGGAGTGGCGACGGTGTCGGCCCCCCAGCGCCCGAGGCCCCAGCCTCGATCGGGGCCCCTTTCTCCACGTTGTACCTGAAAGGAACAACGCGACAACGCGAGAGTCTGCGAGAGTGTGGGATTGCACATACTGGGCATCCACAGGAGCATCCGAACAAGTATACACAGGGTGATGCATCTCACCTTCCCTTTCCTCTGCCCCTGTTTAGCATTCCTGTCGGTGTGCGCTACGTGTAGCCGTGGGAGTTCAGCGCATGTGATCTCGCCGAAAGGAGACCGCCCCGAGGGGCACGCGTTATCGAGTTTGTAGACCCAGTTCGCTCTCTCTCGCTCTCTCTCTCTCTCTCTGCACGCATGCCCCCCCCCCCCCCCCGAAAGAGGAGGCCGCCCCAGAGGGCGCGCAAAGTCCACGCTCTCTCTCTCTCTCTCTCTGGCTCTCTTTCTTTCCGTCTTTCTTTCTGGGGTATGGGGGAAGCCTTTGTACTCTATACTCCGCGGTATCTTGTCCCCTCCCCCCGTGCCCTCCCTATCTCATGCTTTTATCCGGTAACTACATCATCCTTCGGGGGAGGGGTTGTGGCCATGCTACTGTTGGGCCCCCGGCTACTGTGCTCGGGCCCTACTCCGGTGACACTGCTCGTGTTGCGGGCCCCGTCCCTTTCCCAACCAACTATGACCGACTACAATCAACCTTGGTATCCTAATCATTCAGCCAAACCCCCAGCAGTCCACGCCTACGGCGCTCGTCATCAGAGTCCACTGGTCCCGTCTCTCAGTGCAGCTCGATGTTGATGTAACCCCGGTGTCGGTTCCCCCAATGACGTCGGGTAGGGCCCCGGTGGCGTGCAAGGTTGTGTCGGCCCCGTGCCCACTGCTTCGTCAGGCCACTTGGCTTTTCGCTCTCTCTTTCTCTCTCTCTCTCTCTCTCTCTCTCTCTCTCTCTCTCTTCTCTCTTGCTGTGGCAGGCTACATCGTTGCTAAGATCTTCTTGGGACTCTCGTCAATTTGAATGCTGTTGGGGTGCGAGGGTGAGGGGTGTAAAATGGTGCGTTGGCGCACTTGTTGCCAAAGAGCAGTGGCCTTGCACCCGCGGCGTGCACCTCAGAGCGCATGGCACCACCGAGTCCCGGGCATCTGCCAACAGCGGTCTTTCAACCCAACACCCAGCTGACCCGACTTTCTGGCCTCTTGCGTCAGAGCCAGGGCGTGATCCAGGGACTCCTTCTTCGACCTTCCCACAAGACACAAGCATCTTGTGTCGGGCGCCACACATGAGCTAGCCGAAGGCATGCTGGTCATATGCTGATCATCTGCTCTCAAGCGATGGGCAAGTCATACACGATGAAGACCCACGTAGACCGGGCGAATCGTTCCTTGACCAGATGCGCAGCCTTAGAGATAGAGACTCATATGATGGATATTCCAAAAAGAGAGAGGAAAGAGCAAAGAGAGAGAGAGAGAGAGACCTCTCGAAAGAGAAAAGACCGAATGCGTCGAGCTGCACGTGCGTTGCCGGAGCAGTCCAGCAGCTTCACGGGCTTGTCTCCCACCTTCGACAGAAGCCCAGACCCGAGGCCACACAAAACGAAACGGGGAAAGACGGGAAAGACGGGAAAGATGACTTTTGAAGCAGGGTTTTTTTTCGGAGGTCGGAACCCCCAAATTGGTAAACCAGTGGATAAACGCTTCTGCGCTTTTTTTGCCGCCGCGTGATTGGAAGCGTCTTGGAAGCTCAGAGCCCTCCTCCGGGCCAGACCTGACCACCACACTCTTGGACGGCATAGAATGCGAGGGCCATCAGCGAAGTACCCGAAAGGTCACCAAGACCGCAGATCAGGGGGCTGGCGGCATTGTCGGGATCTATGCGATTCTTCCAGAGCACGACGACGAGACTGCGAGCTGCCATCATCAAGATAGATACTTGGCACAGGCTGGCCGTGATGAAGCAGGCTAGGAAAAGCGGTGTAGGCAGGGCCGAGAGACCCGATGCATTTCCAATCACGACGCATGAAAACAAAATCTGGCCTGGGACGATGAGGATAAAGAGCAGCCTTGCAAAGCGACCTGATCAGATTACTGCTGACTGCTGTTGATGGACTACAGTAGACCATCATATTGCTGCTACTCACTGCACCTGTACTCTGTTGCCATTGCGTCTGCTCTGACGCTTACGCTACGATTGCCACAAGCCACTCGTCTCTGCGCAGGCATGTTTGTAGCGGTACTAGCACTGAACGACCACCACCATTCTTCCTTTCAACTCCTACGAGGTCCTTACTCCTACCTTTCTCCTACCAGGTCCCCTACCACTCTTAAATACTCTTTAATACTCCTCCTTGTTCGTTGCAAGAGCGGCCCATCTCCCCGCTCTCTCTGAGCACGCGCAGGGAGAGCCAATCCTCGAAGTGCTGGTCCCGCATCTCCAAATCCACCCAGCTGTTTCGGAGCTGCAGGTGAACCTCCCACGTTACATACGTTACATCTCTGGCCCCGTGGGGAAGATGTGTGTCTGTTAATGAAGACTTCAAAGCTCCAATTCTCTTCAAAACAAGGAGAAGAACTTGTACAATCGGATCCGAGTCGCGTCAACTGCATTGCCAAGGCCCAGGACCCGTGGATCGTTTTTCGTCTGCCCCAAAGTGCTAAGACTTTTGTTGAGCATGCGGAAGGCCGGCGGGAGGTTTAGCGGCTTCTGCAAGTAGGCTTTGACTGTGCCTTCCAACTCGGCCTTTGTGAGGGCAAGATCGGTTGAGAGCTTCGCTGAGAATATGGCCCCTAAGTTCCCGCCGGCACCGTTCATCACCACCTGCGTGGGGAGGGGGGGGGAGGGGGGGGGGGGCAGGTTTCTCAGAAGCAGGAACTTTGGAAAAAGAGCCTCCAAACAGTATGACTCTGCAAGACTCCTTATATATTGTGATAACGCCCGCCCAAAGAGCAATAACGAAAACGAGAATCGAGAACGGGAGAAACTCAAGAGTTGGTAGCAGCCCCCCACCCCCCCCCCACCCACCTGGAAGAGAGCAAAGTTCTTGAACTTCTGGATAGAGGCTTGGGAGATGGGTCCCGACAGGTTGCTCAAGAGCATTGAAACCAGGATCGGATACCAGCCATACTTCATGATCTCATGGGAGTACTTGCTTCGGTATGCGCCCATGCAGCAGAAAGCTGCCACGAAAGGGTACACACAGAGTAGGCAGGGAATCGCTGTGAAAAAGAGTGACTCGGGGAGAGCCCAAAAGAGCTTCGCCACAAGGACCACGATGCTGAGAGTGCAGAAGTCTCCCAGGGTTCCTGCAATCGGGGCCGTTATATTGTCTGGATCCACCCCCCGCCGAGACGCAGCCACAACAATGGCAATCATGAGACAGGAGAGCACCAAAGACGCAATGCTGGCGGCGGTGATGGAGCTCGAAGCGAGCAGCAAGACTTCGGCTGGGCTCCAGCCAGATGTGATGTAGTTCTCAAAGGCCGCGAGCATGGAAGCCACCGTGCCTACGACGATCGCCTGGCCCTGTATGGCCATCAAATTGCTGTTCACGATGGGCCAGAAGGTCTCCCCTTCAAGCTCATTCTTGTTGGCGTGCGAGCCCAGGCGCGCGCCCAGCGTCATCTCCAGGTTCCCCTTCAAGCCCAACAAGGCCGGGACCAGGATGATCAGGGCAGGGACGTCTCGAAAAACTTTCATGTTGCCGGTCGTGTATTCCAGCAGCGCCCCCGAAGCGACCATGCCCATGCCAGCGAGGAAAAAGCAAGGGCTAACTTCCAGGACCGCTTTCCAAATCGCCCCCGAATCGGTTGCCGGCAAGGACATCTGCTTCTTCAGAGGTCCCAGATCATTCTCTTTTGCTTCTTTTGCTTCACCAGGCAAAGCCAAGTAAGCCGCCTGCTCCGTCATGCCTGCGGCTGGTTCGATGTGGACTGGGGCAAGACTTGGGCCTACTTGAGCTGAGTTGAAAATGCTTGCGGGAAGCATCGCGATTCGCAAGCTCGCTCTCATTCCGAAGCAGAAATGCGCAGCCAGCCTGTCAACATAAAGCTCCAAGGGCTTATTGCACTTTCACGAGAAGTGACAACTGGAAGAAGAAGGATAAGAAAACAGTGCTGACATGCTGGTGATGCTAATGATGCTGACATGCTGATGATCTGTGATGATCTGTGATGGTCTGTGATGGTCTGTATGGTCTGTGATGGTCTGTGATTGTGTCTTCCGAGTCTGTGGGCAGGAACTCCGTAATGGGGTTCCTATGGGCCTCCGACTCCAGGTATCGCTCGCTATTGCCAGTTCAAGTGGCCCTCTCCCATCCCGTTGAACATGAAAGCTACCCCGCTCCCCGCTCTCCCTTTGCCTCTCCCTTTGGCTGCTGCCCTTTGGGTGCTCTGCCCTTGGTTGCTCCCCCTTTTCTCGCGCGCCTGAATTTGGTGGTGCGCCATGAAGTTCGCCTTCTGCTCATTGAACTTCGGCAGCTGCTGCGGGTCCTGAGGGACTTCTGAATTTCGATTCTCTGTGTGCGCTGCAGTGTGCGCTGCAGAGTGCACAAAATCTGCAAAATGTTCGTGGTTCTTGGCCGCCGGCATGCTCGGCAATGAGGGCTTCCAGCCTCCAATTCACCGAAATAGAGCACATCCCGTGACTTTGGACCGTGCACATGCGCCCTTCTCTCTGAAAAACAGCGTGCGCCTTCAAACGCAAGTATTGCCTGGGGCCCTAGCAAGGCAGTCTTCCCGGAGCCCTGAGGCCCTGCCAGCTGGATGAAGACGTTGCGCTGACCGGCTTGCCGCCTTCTTCCCCCCAAAAAGCACAAAAAGGAGAGCTGCTCTTTGAAGAGGCACCACTCCCTTCCCACCCCAAAAAGGGGAACACGGCAGGCGGAGGCAGCGCAGCCCACCCTATGCGCCCCTCAGTGGCCTGGGTGCAGTGCTGGCAGCTTTTGGTTGGGCTCCTCCGGCGGGAAGGGCGCCCGGCAGGCCCGAGGTCGCCCTCAGAGCTCTCTTCACACCGTCTTTTTTGGCAGCGCTTGCTGGCTCAAATCGGTTCCTTTTGCTCTCCATTTTGCTTTCCCTTTTGCTTTCCTCTCTTTTTCACTCTTTCACACCGCTCCTTACTTTGTGAGGCTCTCGCTGCATGGCCGTGCTCTTCAGCAGGTTCTGGTACCTGCCTCGAACGCCCGCTTACGCTCAAGTCTGCACATCTACGGAGAGAGAGAGAGAGAGAGTCTAATCCGCCGAGGCCTCGGGCCGTAGGTGTACCGGTGGTACAAAGCAGGCACCCCACCTCCAAGGACCCTTGGCGTTTTTTTGCAATGGGTACCCAGAGCCCCCCAACCCCACCCCAACCCCCGCCCCCCAACCCCCCCCCCCCACCCCCCCCCCCCCCCAACCCCCCCCCCCACCCCCCCCCCTCTCCCCCCCCCCCCACCTCCACCTCTTTCAAGCCCCATTTTTTCGGGTGCGTGGACCTGCGACACACCCCTCACCCCTTCTGCCCCCAGCCCCCTGGTTTGGGTTGCCTTGTTACAGAAGCTCAGGCCGACGCGGGTCGCGTAGCGTTAAAACTAAGGGAGAGAGAGAAAGAGAGAGAAAGAGACAGAGAGAGAGAGAGAGAGAGCGAGAGAGAGAGAGAGAGAGATTACTTCAGCATACTCTTTCAGAGCACACGCTTCATCGTTTCGCGCACGACAAGTCTTGAGGACCGCATTCATAGGCGCGGGCTCTCGGCGTCCTGCAGCTGATCCTGGAACGATGCTGAAGGGTCCAATCAAGGGCGGAAAATGGCAGAAAGGCCCGCCCAGATGTGTGTGTGGGTGTGCGTGCGTGCGTGCGTGCGTGCGTGCGTGCGTGCGTGCGTGCGTGCGTGCGTGCGTGCGTGCGTGCGTGCGTGCGTGCGTGCGTGCGTGCGGGGGTGCGGGGGTGGGTGGGTGGGTGCGTGGGTGGGTGCGGTGGGTGGGTGGGGGTGGGTGGGTGTGGGTGGGTGTGGGTGTGTGGGTGGGTGGGTGCGTGGGTGTGTGGGTGTGTGGGTGTGTGGGTGTGTGGGTGTGTGTGTGTGTGTGTGTGTGTGTGTGTGTGTGTGTGTGTGTGTGTGTGTGTGTGTGTGTGTGTGGGTGGGGGTGTGTGTGTGTGTGTGTGTGTGTGTGTGTGTGTGTGTGTGTGTGTGTGTGTGTGTGTGTGTGTGTGGGTGTGTGTGTGTGTGGGGGTGTGCGTG